CCTCTCTGGGGGTTCGCCGGGGGCCTGCGATGCGCAGAACTGTCGCCGCTTTCGAGGGCTGCGGGGGGGGGGGGCAGCACAGTGGGCACCAAGCGCGGACTCAAAGTGAACTTCTCCATGCCTGGGGGGCTGCGAACTGAGAAACCGCCGCCACTTTCGAGGGTTGCCGGGGGGGTGGGGGGGGGACAGCATGGTGGGCACCCTGCGCGGCCTCAGTTTGGACCTCACCAGCGCTGGGGGGCTGCGAACTGCAAAACTTGCGCCGTCTTCGAGGGCTGCTGGGGGGCCAGCAGAGTCGGTGCCAGGCGCGGAGTCACATTGGATCTCGCCATCCCTGGGGGGCTGCGAACTGCGAAAGTGTCGTCGCTCTCGAGGGCTGCTGGGGGGCCACCACAGTGGGTGCCAGGCGCGGAGTCACATTGGATCTCGCCATCCCCGGGGGGCTGCGAACTGCGAGGCCGTCCCCCAAAAAGTGGGTACCAGGCGCGGGCTCACATTTGACGTCGCCACCCCGGGGGGGATGCGAACTACAAGACTATTGCCACTTTCGAGGGCTGCTGGGGGGGCAGCATAGTGGGTACCAAGTGCTTGGACCTCGCCATCCTTGAGGGGCTGCGATCTGCGAACCTGGCGCAATTTTCGAAGGAGGGGCTGGGGGGGGGTCAGAATGGGTGGATACCAGGCGCAGATTCAAATCCGCCGACCCTGTCGGCGTGTGTGAGGGGCTTTTCCGTTGGAGTCCTCGTCTCCGTCCTCCTCTGTTCCATTTGCCTGGGCCCATACGCGCCGCCCACAGCAAAATTGAACAACATCGGAGTGGAATCGAAATGAAGCCCCTTCCTTTGATCCCTTCCCCGCGCCGCAGGAGGAGGAGGAGGAGGAGGAGGAGGAGGAGGAGGAGGAGGAGGAGGAGGAGGAGGAGGAGGAGGAGGAGGGGGAGGAGGAGGAGGAGGGGGACGTCTCGGGGCGGCCCCGGGGAGGGTCGCCACCCGGGCACGCCTTCCCCCACGCTCCGGCCCTGGCCCCCGCTCCGGCCCTGGCCCTGGCCCCTGCGCCCTGGCCCCGGACCCCACGGCCCCGCCCAGAGGGCCGCAGCCCGGGCACCCCGGCCCCCGGCCCCTGGCCCCGGGCCCCAGCCTCGGCCCATGGCCCCCCGGCCGCGGCCCCAGCCCCAGCCCCTTAACAGAGCCCAAGAGGCCCCAAGAGAGCCCCACGAACTGCTCCATGAGCGTCAGCGTCGTCGTCTCCGCCGCCGCCGCCGTCGTCGCCGTCCCCCTTCAGAATCGGCGGCACCGGCCGCTAGGCCTTCCCCATCAAACCTCGCCTTCCCTGGGGGGCTGCGAACTGCAGCACTGCTGCCACTTTCGAGGGTCGTTGGGGGGGAGGCAGAAGAACTAGTTGGTGCCAGGCGCAGAGTCAGATTGGACCTCGCCATCACTGCGAAAATGTCGCCACTTTCGCAGGCTGCTGTGAATGCCAGCGTAATGGGTGGTGCTGGGCGAAGATCCAGTTTGGACCTCGCCATCCCTGGGGGGGTGCGAACTGCGAAGCTGTCGCCACTTTCGAAGGCTGCCGGGGGGGCCAGAATGGCGGTACCAGGCGCGGACTCAAAGTGGGCCTCGCCATCCCTGGGGGGGCTGCAAACTGTGAAACAGCCGCAACTTCCGAAGGATGCAAGTGGGCCCAGAGCAGTGTTGTTAGGTCGGGCGTGTCCTCCGATCGACAAGCGGATTCCAGAACAAGATGAAACAGAGTCATATATATATATATATATAAACTAAAGAAGAATGTTAGGGAAATCGTCCCGAGGCTTTCTTGTTGACTATCTTTGAAGATTCCTCCTGCACGGCATGGGCGGACGATGCGCGGCCCCGTCTTGCCGTCGCTCGGACGTCCCTTTCCCGTGCATTGTTCGGGTTTCGTGCGTGTTTTTTCTTTTGTTGCTCGATGGTGCAGGATGGCCCTCGATGGTCCTCGACCCCAAAACATGCACACGTCCGAGCGGTGCCAAGCCGTTGCCCTTCCCGCGGGCCGCCCTCTTCCTCCTCCTCCTCATCCTCCTCCTCCTCCTCATCCAACCGCCTCCCCCTCCGCCTCCTCCTCCTCCTCCTCCTCCTCCTCCTTCTCCTCCTCCTCGTCCTCCTGCTGTCCAGGTCGAGGGTGCCCGCGGGCCGCCCGCAGGCCTGCCCGCGCGCGCCCCGGGCGTGGAGCCCTCCCGCGCGGAGGAGCGGCGCGGGAGGGCGTCGGGGAGAGGCTGGGCGGGCGAGCTCGGCCTCGCTCGCGCCCTGCCCTGCAGCCAGGCCGCACACCCAGGGCGCAGGCAGGGGAGCCCAGAATCGAATCGATACAGGCGGGTTGTTGAGCACAGGACGCGCGACAGGACACAGGAATCTTCCGACGGCAACATGGCCTCCCAAACCACAGGACACAAGGGTACCCTGCCCTTCGGCCGCAGAGGACACGACGCGCGATGCACAGGACACAAGACACCCTTGATTTCGCAGGGCCGACCTACTACTGGAACCCGACTGTAAGTCGGATCGGCGATTGAAACAAGTCGGATCGGCAGAAATCGGCAGCCGAGTCGGGAAACGTCGAATCGGCGGAAATCGGCAGGCTGGTGTGCGTCCAATAAGGTATCGGAACCCAGATCGGAATCCGAAATCGAATCGAATCGGAATCGGAATCCATCGGAGTCGAATCGAATCGAATCGGAGGATTCGAAACGAGCCCTGGCGCAGGCGCCTTGGAATTACCAGCCTGGAACATATCCCTATCCCTATGCTGGGCATCTCCTCATCGCGATGCCAATCGTAGGGGTTCCCTTATGTTTTGAGGGCGCATCCCTAAGATTGTCATCGCCTTTTGGCGTGTCAATCTTAGGGATAGGGATAAGTTCGAGGCTGGTAAGCACAACCCGAGCGCAGGCGCCTTGGAAGGCAACTCCGAGGCTGCTCGGGCGGGGCGCGGCCAGCGAGAGTGGCCAAGGATGGGCCGAGGAGGCATGGACCCAGAGATCCAACGCATTGAAAAAATCAAGACGGACGGTTTTGGCCATGCTCGGCCTCGAGAGGCCCTCGCCGGGCCCCGGGATCGTCAAACAACGACTCGGGATGAAAAACCGGCCCTGGGGAAAGGGTCGGGACTTCTTGGGACCCCAGATTGAACAAAATCACGACATCGGATCTCTGGGGATGCAGGGGTGGCCTTGGGAAGGTTGCCCATCCTTACTATGCGGGCAGGCTGCCGTAACGAACAGTGCGGCCTCCGAGGCGCCAGGGAGGGCGACGCGGCGCGGGCTGCGCTGCCAACGTGCCGCCAACAATACACAAAAACGCCACCTTCCTTTCTCAACCCGCCTACCCGTTGTCGTCCTGGTTGAATGATGTGCAATAAAATATCCCTAATTATTTGGGGGGGTAAGGATAGGGGGTACTTTTGTTGACAGATGTCTCACATGAGACCACCCGCATATTTTTAGGGGGTTGCGAAGCTTGTGGAACTACCTGCGAAGACGGGCAGAGCGGAATCGCCTGCGAAGGAGCGGGGCGTAGTCTCTCCTGTGGGGTAACAACTGGGTAACACCCCACATCGATGACCTAAAGTAGGCCGCGGATTTATTCTGATACTTTAGCATGGGGAAACGGGCCCTGTGGGAGACGTGTCCTGAGGAAAACGGCGAAAAATCTCAGGACCTGTTTCCCTCAGGACCCGTTCCCCCATGGCGTGTTATCGGGGTTCGGGGTTGTATGATGCTTGATGTCTGCGCAGATCCTATCCTCGGAAGTCTGGGAAGCTCCCGCGGAACACTACAAGGTCGGGCGTATCCTCCTCCAGGCGGATCTTGGATGGAAATATAAAAAAGTCAAACAATAACATCGCTCCCACCACATAAAGTCGTAGCATGCTTGAAAACTCCTCCCGTAAGGGACGGGCCCGACTCTTAAGAATACTATACCCTCCGCGCCCCGCGGCGCTGCCCCCCCCCCGCCGCGGCCGAGCGCCCCCGGGCCGGCCGCCGCCCGAGACGCGCCGCATCGGAGGAAGGGGCCCAGGGACACACAAAGAAACACACACACACACACAAAGAACAGGAGGATAGCGAAGGGGGGGATAGCAAAGGGGGGGGGATCGCAAGGGAGGGGGATAGCAAAGGGGGGGATAGCAAAGGGGGGGGTAGCAAGGGGGGGGGGGGGACTGAAGGGGCCCAGGGACACACAAATAAACACACACACACACACACACACAAAGAACCGGATTCCCCATATTCTCCCATATTTTTTCTGGGCTTTCGTCGTATCCCCCCCACTTCCCCTATTCTCCCATAGTTTCCGGGGAAACGACGATTCCTTGCGTCTGTGTGCTTTCCACCCCCCCCGATCGGACCCCGACACGGGACCGCTCGAGCCGCATCCGAGCGGAGCTCCCGCGGCCGGCGCTCCGCACGGAGCTCCCGCTCCAGAGGCCCGGCGCGGCGAGATCCGCTCGGAGCTCCCGCTCCCGCCTCGGACCGCTCGAGCCGGCTCCGAGCGGAGCTCCCGCGGTCGGCGCCCCGAGTCGGAGCTCCCGCCCCCGCCTCGCATGCCGAGTCGGAGCTCCCGCTCCCGCATCCGATCCCGAGCCGGCTCCCGAATCGCTCGGAGCGCCTCGGCGCGCTCTCGCCCCCTCGCCATCGCTCCGACGTCCGTGATCCGTGCATGTGTCGATTCCGTGCGTGATTGTTTCTGGCTCGATGATCCAGGATGCTCCTCGATGGTCCTCGCCAAGAAAAAATGCACACGTCCGAGCGATGCTAAAGTCCCTCTGCCCCGAGCTCCTGCGGGGTGCCCTCCGCGGGAGGAGGAGGAGGAGGAGGAGGAGGAGGAGGAGGAGGGAGGAGGAAGGAAGAGGAGGAGGAGGAGAGAGGAGGAAGAGGAGGAGGAGGAGGAGGAAACAGCCCCCGAGGGCCAGAACACGCCTAAGAGGGCCGAATCGATCGGAGCCCCTCGGCCCCGCGGCTC